TTTCTACTTTTCTCTTCCATAGATACATATATAAGGATGAACAGAGGAATATACAGCACTTCACCTTATAACTCTTTCACAACTTGGCTCAAAATTTACGATTACTGAAGGGAAAAAGTCTAATGGAATAAAGCATGAATTAACTACTCATCCTTTACAATGGGTTGCACGGGGAGAAAGCAACTATAGGATACACTAATACTTTAGGTTACTTGGTAGGTTAACTTTATTCAAAGGGAAATAAAGATAAACAACAATATGTAAACAATTTTTTTTTTAAAAGATTTATTTTTATTTATGCAGATAAGAACTGGGGTATAGGCCAGAGGTACCATGGTTGAGAGGATTCACCGGAGACAGAGTAGGGAGCAGAACAGATGGATCTACTGAAATACACTGCTGAGGGGAGCAGTGGGAGAGACAGGAAAGGTCTGCTGCGCCATATATGGCTAGTTAGCTCCGTGGCCTGGGATCAAACTCAAGTCACAGTGGCTGAGGCTTGGTAGAGCTGAGATTTTAACCCGACACGAACCCTGGTAAACTAGTTTTTTAAAGACTTACTAAGTGCCCAATCAATGGACACATCGATGCAAATAAAATGTGAGTAAAAAGTGACTAAAATTTGATTCTCGTCCTCAAAAATCCAGGGACAATTAGTAGTCATGTAAACAAATGTAAAGTCAATATATATACACCACGTGAAGGAACACAAGAATATGGGAGTTTAGGTAAAGATTACTTCTGGAATTAAGGAAGTGTTCATAAAGAGGTCTCTCAATGGGTCTCAGAATGAGATATAAAACCTGGAAGAAGGAGCTAAGGGCAGTGGGAGATAGTATTCCAAAAGTGAGCAAAAGGAAAGGTTTATACACACACTACACACTTTATGTAATTTAAATAGTATGACTTCATATTTCAACTTAAAAATGAAGACACTTGAATTTTAGGAAATCTAAACAAATTACCTAAATCACACAACTAAGTTACGAAAGTAGGCCTGCAGTCCAAATATGACTTTGGATATGGGAAACTCAGTGGGAAAGGCTAGGAAGCAGATTAAAAACAGATTGTAGGGTAATTAAATGCCAGCTTAAGGCATTCTGAACTCTATACTGAAGGAAACAAAGAACCCTGGAAAATTTCTAAGTGACACAGCATCATTTGAGTTATTCAGGATTAATGTAACAGTGTAAAGAAGACTGCAGAGGTTTTTAAAAATGCATACTAAGACCAACAGTATCAGAATCATCTGTAAACTTAGTGAAAAACATTCTGAGATCCACTCCAGATCTAGTGACACAAAAACTTGGGGTCAGGTGCTTGGTGTTAAAATCCTCCCAGTTGATTATGATGCATGTTTGAGAACCCCCACAGGTGAGAAAAATCCTTTCTTACTGGGGAAGTACAATTCATTAGAGCTTATGAATGAATTCTTAAAGTGGAGAAAGAAAAAGAAAACCCAAGAAATGTCAAACCAAAATCAATTATGATAAAGAAAATACAACGGGGGGGGGGGGGGGGGGGAGAGACACCTCCCTGGGAAGAATATATGCAATTTGGGAAGAATATATACAACATACAATATGTACAATTTGGAACAAGTCATATCGGGGGAAAGATACTCCAGAGAGGACAAGAATAAGCAGATGAAAAATCAAGAAGAGGGCCTCCCCGGTGGCGCAGCGGTTGAGCGCTGGGTTGCGAAGCTGCTCGCAGCCTCTGCAGCACCGGTTCGATCCCCGGCAGCTTCCCAGCCACCGGAGGAGGGTCCCACATGACGCGCAGACCTCTCCTGCCGCCCGCTGCTCCCCTCAGCAGTGTACTTCGGTCCTTCTGCCTGCTCTGCTCCCCGCTCTGGCTCTGGTGAATTCTCTCTCCCTCCCGCACTTCTGACTGTAACCAGTGCTTGTATAAATAAATAAAAATAAATCTTTAAAAAAAAAAAAAAATGAAGAAAGAATAAAAAAAAAAAAAAAAAAAAAAAAAAGAAAAATCAAGAAGAGCCCAGAAGCTGGGTATAAAGATACCAATAAGAATTCCTCTGCAGGGGGCAGGAAGGGCTATTACAGAACTACCAGTACTTGGGGTTGCGTTTTTTTTTTTTTTAAAGGATATGAACAAATATATATATAGAAAAAGAACACACATAAGAAATTAAGCACTTGACATTAGGTATGGTTACTTAAAAATAAATCTTAAAAAAAAAATCAACATTGCTCTATGAGTAAATTTTTAAAAGGATAAAAATGGCAGGGTATTTGGATTAATGTCAAACATTGCTGAAAGGTTTATCTACCTAGATGTGCAAAAGCTGAAAGCTACTAAGATGATAGTGCAGATTTCAATGTCAGGGACTTGTGTATTAATTTACAGTTTTCCAAGTCTTGTTAACCACTACCTTTATATGGGAACTTTTTAAAATATTGGCTTCAAAATTTCATAGGTATGCGTGGGGTGGTTAGTATTTAGGGACCCACTGCTGGTCCAGTAGACATAACAGTGCAGGATTATAGTAAATTTGGCATCACCATTGAACTTTTTTTTTTTTTTAAAAGATTTATTTATTTATTTATTTATTTATTTATACAAGCACTGGGTACAGTCAGAAGCGCTGGAGGGTGAGAGAATTCACCAGAGCCAAAACAGGGAGCAGAGCAGGCAGAAGGACCAGAGTACACTACTGAGGGGAGCAATGGGCGGCAGGAGAGGTCTGCGCGCCATGCAGGAGCCTCCTCCGGTGGCCGGGGAGCAGCCGGGGATCGAACCCGCAAGGCAGAGGCTGCGGGCAGCTTTGCAACCCAGCGCTCAACCGCTGCGCCACCGGGGAGGCCTACCATTGAACGATTTCTCATTAAATACTCTGCCACAAGGTCCTAAATGGTTTGAACTGCCACTGACAGAAATATATAAATCCACTTATCATGAATTCAAATAACTATCAATTAGGAACTCCTAATCACGATAAAGAAGCTTCCAACTCTGAATTCCTAGGTGTTTATTTTATGTAACTTCCTCAGGTTAATTTCCCCATTTTTTTAATGCACTGCAAAGGTAGCCGACTCCGTCTTAAGTTTAATAAAATTTATATAAAATTTCTATTGCTGAGGCTTATAACCACTTTTGCAAATCTCTTGATGACTAAAGCCAAGCTTTGAGAATCCAATTATTTATATTAATACACAATATAATTTATGTGTCATTCTGAATAGTAAAGCAGTTTTATAATTAAAAAAATAAAAAAAATCCATTACATCATACACACATAAAAAACACATTATTCCAACAAAGCATACTGGTTTTGCCAAAACTTTATTCACCATCTTGGCATTGTCAATTCCTCCTGGAAGCTTTCCTGATAATAACTAAGTTGAGGAATTTTTCCATCCCCTGATCATTTTCTCTGTGCCATACTTATGTTTTTTTACTTTGTACCGTTACACCTTATATACACAATCAAGGCAGGAAATGTGCTTTACCTAAATAGCAAGCCCTCAGCTGTGGCTAGTACACCCTCAACAATGAAAGCTAAATTGATCATATTTCATCTCCTCTATTAGAATAGGCAGGGACGTCATCACATTCATTTTATGATTAACCAGCTACTACCAGTGACTGTGAGATTCCTGTTCTGTTGAAAGAACTAGAATCACAATACTTTTGGTAGCTGACAAGTTTTACATCACTGGTATCAACTATAGTTGTAACTCGGCTATTCAATATCAGAAAAAGGAAACAAGTTTCGTCTTATCAGCTAAATTACAAAATAGTTTTACATTTTGCCTTACTTTTTGGCCTAGAAAAAATGTCACCAATAGGTCTACATCACGTGCCCTCTACGGGTGACTGGAGAGAGGAAAACAGGGAGGAAAAAAAAAAAATCAATGTAAGAAATCTACTTTGACAACACATTAAAATAACGTTCAAGAGATTCATATCACCTGGTTACATCTGGAAGCCACTGTGCAGTTAGGCTGGGCCATTCCAGAGCATGGGTCATCACCAAATCGTAAAGAAAAGGGGTGTTCTTTTTCCATATTTTGTACTCTTCGTTGATCACACGTTCTTCCACTGCGTCATCAAAGGCTGCTAAACATTTTTTGGAGACATTAAGTTAGTGAACACAAATGGAACCCGAGTAAATATTTCCAAAGCTATCGGCACGGCTCCGGAGTCCGATTTCAGAAACAGAGACTTGCAGAAATCTCAAGGCGGAGGCACAAACGCCCCCCCCCACCCCTCGCGGGCCCGAACGGCCCTCGGGTCCTCCCCGCCAGACTCCCCGTTAGCCGTTGGGGCGCGGGCCTCGGCGCATGCTCCCCGCGGCGCTAAGGCGGCCGGACCGGCGAGCAGGCCCGAGCACCGACCCTTGGGGCTTGGGAGCCGGGTGGGGGGCACCCCGAGACAGGCGGAGCGCGGACAAGGACCGAACACCCCCTCGCGCCCCCACCGCCCGCTTCGCCTCCGCTCTCAGGAACGGGGCCCCGTTAGTCCGCCCCGCGCGGCGACGCCTTCGATGGTGGGGACGGCGCTCAGCAGAGCTGGGCCTGGCCGCCCTGTTAGGCCCTGCGGAGGCCTCGGCGCAAGCCCGGCATCCCCGCTTCCCGCCCTTCTGGGGCGGCCCCAGCACCCTTACCTTCCTTGTCGGCCATGGCGGGCGGGCGAGCCGGGGGGATCCCGGGGTCGAGCGTTGCGGGAGGGGCGGGGAGGCTGCGGGCGCTCGCTCTGCGCGCGCGGCCTCTATTGTTTCCTGCCGCTCCTGCGTGAGGGTCGACTCGCGCACCTTCGCGCCAACGTTAGCCAATAGGAGCGCGCTGGACGGCGAAGTGGGCGGGGACGCCGCATTCGTAGCCTATCCGGGCGCGCAGAGTCGCTTACCGCGGCGCCGGAGCGCGCGCTCCACCGCTGCCCCTACACCGCCCAGACCCCATTTCCTTCGATTGCGCGCGCGGGGCCGCCGCAAGTGCGTCCCCACCCCCCCACCCCCGTGGTCACGTGAGAGAGGTTCCCTCCGCACTCTCATGGGGGCAGCCATTTTCTTAAAGGCTGCTGAACTCGCGACCGCTTCAAAATACTCAGATGAGAAATCTGTGATGCTTTCGAGTTGTCAACGCCGGGGGTGAGGCAGCATCACTTAAACCTGGAGATGTCTGGCTGCAATGGCCCCCTACTCAAAGAACCTCCAATTTATCTGTTTCTTTAGACCTTAGAATTGATTGAAGAAGCAAGAGCAGAAAATGGGGGCTCGCTTTTTAAAGATGCGTTCCTAGCCGTGAGGCCTAAGAAGGGCGTCTGGGAACAAAGTGTGTCAGCCAGTGTAGCGGCCTGGCCCTTTAAAGGATGTGCGCTAAGGGGCGGGGCCTAGAGCGGAAGTTGTCATCAGGTCTGAGGTCTGGTTGATGAAGGGCGGAAGTAGGGTGTCTGATGCGGCTGTCATGGCGCAGGAAGAGGAGGACGTGCGAGATTATAATTTGACTGAGGAGCAGAAAGCGATCAAGACCAAGTATCCGCCAGTCAATCGGAAGTACGAGTGTGAGTAGGTGGCTCAGTTGTTTTGTTCCCTTTCCTCCTTGGGACTACCGGTCTCGCTTTCCACTTGGCCTCACGAGATGCTGCAGTCTGAGCCCCTGATTTCCTGTGCTTTTCCAGGGAGTGGAAACTGCCAGGTTTGAGAGTCGAGAAAGCTAAACTCTCACATTTTACAGTCTTTTAAAGTTTTTCCACATATGCCTAATAACTTGTGGGGATTTTACCAATGTGTTGATTTTAAATATAGCCGTATTTCAGGGTTGTCTTGTCCCCCCACCTCCAACACCACCCCACCCCCATTTCCAACAAAGGATTGGACTCTGGCTAGGTTAGAGAATTCTGAAAGCTGAGTATGAGTCTCTGAACTGTCCCCACCCTCAAGCCTAATTAGTTCCCTCCCCACTCCCCCCCCTTGAGTCATCTCATTAGCATAGCTCAAGGGTTGTGTGTGGGACTCATGAATAGCAAAAGACACTCTAATCACTCAGGAAATGCCAAGGATTTAAGGAATTGTGCCAGGGCAAAGACCAAATATATATTATACTACAAAAATATTCAGTAAAAAAATAGCAATTAAGATTTAGAGAAAAAGTAGACAATAGTTGAACTTTCTAACTTATTGTGAAGAAAGCGCCATCTGATCAGAAGTCCTCTTTATATTTTTTATGCTTCATGACTGCATCTATGGGGATGACCAAACTAGTGGGTTAATCTACATAAGACAAGCTCCCCACCTCCCCTTAGGAAAATTGGATTTGCCTGAAATAAATAGTGCTGCAGTGAGCATAGGACTACAAATATCCCTTTGAGTCACTGTTTTTGCATTCTTTGGGTAGATACATAAGAGTGAAATTACTGGATCATATAGTAGTTCTATTTTTAATATTCTGAGAAACCTCCATACTGCTTTCCATAAGAGTCAGTCTCCATCCCCACCAGTGGTGTTCCTTTTTCTCCACATCCTCTCTAACACTTGTTGTTTCTGGTCTTTTTTTTTAATATTTATTTATGCATACAAGAACTGGGGTACAGGCCAGAGGTGTGTGGGGGGGTGAGAAGATTCACCAGAGACAGAGTGGGGAGCAGAACAGGCAGATTGACTGAAATACACTGCTGAGGGGAGCAGCAGGCAAGACAGGAGAGGTCTGCTATGCCACGTGGGTTGCTCCCTGGCCTGGGATCAAACTCGTGCTGGGTTGCGAAGCTGCCCGCAGCCTCTGCAGCGCCGGTTCGATCCCCGGCTGCTCCCCGGCCACCAGAGGAGGGTCCCACATGGCGCGCAGACCTCTCCTGCCGCCCGCTGCTCCCCCCAGCAGTGCACTTCGGTCCCTCTGCCTGCTCTTCTCCCAGCTCTGGCTCTGGTGAATTCTCTCACCCTCCTGCGCTTCTGACTGTACCCAGTGCTTGTATAAATAATAAATAAATAAATCTTTAAAAAAAAAGATTTATTTATTTATGCATACAAGAACTGGGATACAGGACAGAGGTGGGGGGTGGTTTGAGAGGATTCACCAGAGACAGAGTGGGGAGCAGAACAGGCAGATTGACTGAAATACACTGCTGAGGGGAGCAGCATGCAAGACAGGAGAGGTCTGCTGTGCCACGTGGGTTGCTCCCTGGCCTGGGATCAAACTCGTGCTGTAGTGGCTGCGGATTGCTTCATAGGTTGCATCTTAACCCCTTGCGCTACCAGGGAGGCCCAAGAATCTTTACATTCTTAAAGATAATTGATTAAAAAAAGAGCTTTTGTTTACATGGATCCTATCTGTCAGTATTAGCCACACTAGAAATTTGCAATAGATCTTTACTGGAATTGGTGTGTAGAGAGAGACAATAAAAGAAAGGCTATTACTGGTAACAGCAAAGCCAGGGACTAAGTGTTTGCACCAAAGCTATGTGGACGCCCTGTCATTGTCTTTTTAGACTTTTTTAAAAGTTGAGTTACAATTTACATATAGTAAAAGTGCTCAGATCTTCAGTGTAAAAGTCCAGTGAGTTATGATAGATGGAATCATGTAACTTACACTTCATGTAAGCAGAGTCACACAATATAGATTCTTTTATGTATAGTTTCACTCAGTATCAAGCTGCTGCTGCTGGGCATTTTATTATTTATTTATTTTTAAAGATTTATTTATTTATACAAGCACTGGGTACAGTCAGAAGCTCGGGAGGGTGAGAGAATTCACCAGAGTCAGAGTGGAGAGCAGAACATCCAGATTGATGAAGTACACTGCTGAGGGGAGCAGCAGGTGGCAGGAGAGGTCTGCGCACAATGTGGGACCCTTCCCAGCAGCCGGGGATCGAACAGGCGCTGTAGAGGCTGCGCGCAGCTTTACAGCCCAGTGCTCAACTGCTGCGCCACCAGGGGAGGCCCCTGCTGCTGGGCATTTTAAAGATTTATTTTTATTTATTTATTTTATATAAGCACTGGGTACAGTCAGAAGTGCGGGAGGGTGAGAGAATTCACCAGAGCCAGAGTGGGGAACAGAACAGGCAGACTGATGAAGTACACTGCTGAGGGGAGCAGCGGGCGGCAGGAGAAGTCTGCGGGCCATGTGGGACCCACCTCCGGTGGCCCGGGGAGCAGCCAGGGATCGAACCGGCGCTGCAGTGGCTGCGGGCAGCTTCGCAACCCAGCGCTCAAACGCTGCGCCACCAGGGAGGCCCTGCTGGGCATTTTAAAGCAGTGAAAAGATTTTCATTCGGTGACTACTGACAGTAAAGGAAAGAGCTGAACTCCATTCTGACTTGTGCAGAGGTGATTGGGTCTTTTAAAGGGAACGTGAAGGTTGGGGATAGCAGGCCTTAGAAGCCTCTCCTGAATTAGAAAAGTGAAGAATTACAAAATTTTAATCACAGTAAATTGGTTTAGGCCAGCTGTGTTTGCTAGTTATCTAAGTTGGGATTCTGTCCTCCCACAGAGAAATTTCAAAGGAATGCTTCTGGGGTCCTTGAGAAAGACTGTCTGATAGAAAAGATACATGTTCACAATTGCAAGCCCTTTTTAGTAAATGTTCTAAGAAAGGGAGGTCAAGAGCCTATCAGATGCAGGCCTGGAACAAACAGTAAATTGGGGGGGGGGTGCCAAGGGAGGGTGCTGTGGCATGGATTCAAGTCTTTTAGTGCAGGAATTTGGATAGGTTTGTAATGTGCCAAGAGTTCTTCAGTTTTCACTTAATGTTTCTGAGATTCATGTTAATGCATATATCAGTAATTTGTACTTTTGTTTTAATTGCTGAGTAATTTTTGTATTGTATTCCTTAATTTATCTGTTCTTATTGGACATTGAGTTTTTAATTTTTAAAAAGATTTATTTTTATTTATTATGCATAGAAGAACTGGGGTGTAGACCAGAGGTGGGGGTCAGGAGTGAGAGGATTCACCAGAGACAGAGTAGGGAGCAGAACAGGCAGATCTATTGAAATACACTGCTGAGGGGAGCAGCAGGTGAGTCAGGAGAGGTCTGCTGCACCATGTGGGTCAGCTCCCTGGCCTGGGATGGAACTCGTGCTGCTGATAGCTTCATTGTGCTGAGACTTAACCCCTTATACCACCAGAGAGGACCGAGGTTTTAATTTTCTGCAATAAATTTACTGTGAACATTCTTAAATGTGTTTTTGTGAACATATGCTTTCATTTTTCTAGGGTTAATTTCTAGGGTCATTTCCTTTTGTTTGTCATCTCTTCTGATCATTGAGCCCCTTAGTGCCTAAAGGTTATTAAGTTCTTGGTAATATTTTAGAATGAATTAGAATGAATTTGAATCTTGAGTGCCACCAGAAGACTGTGTTATAGTGCAGAGTACACTACATAGGAATCAAAAAACCTCTTTTCTAGTCCCGCCTCTGCCTTTAATCAACAATGTAGTCAAAAAAAAACACAATCTCTTTGGAATTTAGGTTTCTTCTTATAAGTAACTATTTAGAAAAGACATTGATTTGTTTTGAGGAATGGCATTTGTTTGAGAAGTTACCATGTATATTGAATACTTTTTAGTTCATGTAGAAGATTCTGGTCCTGCTACCTTCCAGATATTGTCATTTGCTTAAATATAAATTTAGGTTAAAAAGTATTAATAAAGCAATTTTGTTGTATAAATGGATTGCAAAAGATGGGGTCTACCCCACTTTTTTTGTTCTTCAGGGGTGATGATCTTAATAATGGACTAAAGTTATGTTGTGATTTGTGAGTCAAGTTTAATGACTTATAAGAGTTTTCCCCTCTCTCCCTCAGATTTGGATCATACAGCAGATGTCCAGTGAGTATAATTGGAGTTTATCCCTATGTCCTTAAATAGGAAGGCTGATTTTTTTTTTTAAGATTTATTTATTATTTATACAAGCACTGGGTACAGTCAGAAGTGCAGGAGGGTGAGAGAATTCACCAGTGCCAGAGAGCGGGGAGCAGAGCAGGCAGAAGGCCCGAAGTGCACTGCTGAGGGGAGCAGCGGGCGGCAGGAGAGGTCTGCGCGCCATGTGGGACCCTCCTCCAGTGGCCGGGGAACAGGCGGGGATGGAACCAGTGCTGCAGAGGCTGCGGGCAGCTTCGCAACCCAGCGCTCAACCACTGCGCCACCGGGGAGGCCCCGGAAGGCTGATTTTTTTAATGTTGATGTTCCTAGTGTTAATCTTTTATTTTGATTCTTTTAGAACATGAAAAAGATGGCTTAAAAGCATCCAATTTCAGTGCTATTGGTTTTTATCATGTTGATTTTCTTTTGATGTTACAGTCAAGTTTTCTCTCTCGCAGTGGATTCTATTACATAGGACATGAATGTATTTCTTTAGGTTACATGCATGGGGAGATACCCTGGAGGAAGCATTTGAGCAGTGTGCAATGGCCATGTTTGGTTACATGACAGATACAGGCACTGTGGAGCCCCTGCAGACAATGGAAGTAGAAACCCAAGGTAGTCAATCTATTCACAATAAAGAAATTGTCATACAAATGCTCAGTGTTCTACGGAATTATACATTAAGAAAAGCAAAATTGATTATGAGCCTCTTCTTCCTCTTTCAGCTAGCTTAAGAAATTCATTGCACTTTTAAGTACAAATAAGTTTTTCAAGATGGGTTATTAAACAGCTGTTATTGTTCTTCTTGATCCCCTGTAGGAGATGACTTACAGTCTCTTCTGTTTCACTTTTTGGATGAGTGGCTTTATAAGTTCAGTGCTGATGACTTCTTCATACCCCGGGTAAGCAAGGATTTTTTGTTTTATTTTTAATTTTTTTTAAAAGATTTATTTATTTATGCATACAAGAACTGGGGTATAGACCAGAGGTGCGGGAGGATGAGAGGATTCACCAGAGAAAGTGGGGAGCAGAACAGGCAGATCTACTGAAATACACTGTTGAGGGGAGCAGTGGTCGAGTCAGGAGAGGTCTGCTGCACCATGTGGGTCAGCTCCCTGGCCGGGGATTGAACTCATGCTGCAGTGGCTGGTGATAGCTTGATAGCACTGAGGACTTTAACTCTGTGCCACCAGGGAGGCCCCTGGATTCATATTTTAAACCGAATAAGTGATTTAAAATAGAACATGTGATGCAAAACCTAGCTATACAGATGATAGAGATTTGCAGAAACTATAATGACCATAGGCACTTCCTGGTAACTGGAGTTTGCCTATAGACACACGTTTTGTATTTAGATCTCTTATTATATACTTGTCACTAATCACGAGTGTGTGATAGGAAAGCACCTGTTGTCTTCATCCAGTCACTTTTTATGTCTCCCAATTTTGAGCTATATTTGTATCCATCCATATGCTTCTTTTGTCCCAAATGAAATTTAGCAGCTCTGTCATGTTGGCCTAAACTAAGAAATTGCTGGTTTTCCTGAACATGAAAAATAAAAAGCCACATGAAGGTTGTTGCCATCAACTTCTCAAAGGGAACACCTTTCCAACTTCATTGTTATCTTACATGCACAGCTCTCCCCGCTTTCCCCGGGTCATTTGTCTCACAGAGTTCAAGTGTCTATAATATTATATAAAAACAAGCTGAGCGCCTTGTCAGTTATACCTTAGTAAAGCTGAAAAAAAAAAAATAGGCTGAGAGCAATTGGAAATATATGACATCATCCTGATCTTTCAGAGAAATTCTTTTGACTCATGTTTTTGGATTGTACATTTTTCAGGAATGCCTCCCTTAAATGTGTAAGAAAAAATCTACTTCCGTGAAATATATTGTTGACCTGTTAATGAACATTTCATTTTATAAAATATAATTTTTTTTTCCCCCTTTAGGAAGTAAAAGTGCTTAGTATTGATCAAAGGAACTTCAAATTACGGTCAATTGGGTAAGTTTTGAAAATCTTTTAAGTAGTAAGTCATGAACTTAGTGGGCGGGAAGACAAATGGAAATGTTGTTAAGTCACAGGACCAGTTGTATCCCAGAAAGGCCTTGCAGGTTAAGCTTTGTGGGGCACCTACAAGCCAGGCCTCACCTCAGTTTTGGAGAATCAGAAACTCACCAGAACAAAGTTGGTTCTGGTTGTTAATTCTGAGTCCCAGTTTGTTGATTTTTAGTGCACGAAGCACGCGCGCGTGCATGCACACACACACACACTATATATATATATATATATATATATATATATATATATATGTAAAATTGCTGGGTGGCACAGGGGCACAGATACTTGCTTGGTCATGGTGAATGGGGGACACTGACACATGCTTTCTCGTTGATCCTCACATTTCATTCAAGCCAGTTCCATTAACAAATTTTACTTTTTCTTCAAGAGCTCACAAACACGTGTTTAGGATGCTCTGATTGGATTTAGTGTTCCCTGAGTTTCTCTGGTCCCTTAATGATAGCTTTTATCCCCTCTAACATACTCCCATGCCTTTTGGCTTTCTTGTATCTTAACCACATTTATAAGCTTATTTTAAAATACATAAGAAGATAACAAGTGTTAAATCTTGGAAAACTTAATCATGTTTTAATTTTCTGTCTCAAGGTGGGGAGAAGAATTCTCATTGTCTAAGCACCCTCAGGTATGTTTTTAAATCCAGCCATGAAGAACATTTTCATACTTAACCATAAAGCAGTAAATTTCGGCAAGCACTAATAAATTGGTGTAAAGTGGTCAGTTTTTCTCAGACTTCTCTGAGAAAATACATAGGACTTGGTGGATTAGGATTCAGCATTTGGGTTTTAGGGCCAGGTTGATTACAGATTGTGGGACTTAAATTTCACTGCCTTTTCAAGTTGTGATATTCTCCCTTATAATGGAGGTGTTAGACTAACTGTTCTTTAAAGTACCTGCTACCTTCTGTGCTTCTCTGGATTCTGTGTTTGCCAACCTGTATGACTTGACTCAGTACTAGTTAATTGTGGGGAAAGTGTAAGCTGAGAAGCCAGCCTCTGAGGGGAGCAGGTACGGGCTGCTCAGTGTGACAGGAGAGAGGGCCAGAGTGAGTACAGGTTCAGTAGGATGGTAGGTTTGATGGGGGAGATGAGTCGATTCTCACTGGTTGCTTTTACTTTCTTTGGGAAACTTGTTGGTTGATGGTGGGAATGAAGGAGGGATGCTAGAGGGAAGAGGTTAAATAATTGTCTTGGAGAGTGAGAAAGTAAACTTAATGGCAAGTGTAAGATTACTGGTCAGTGCTCAGTACTCTTTTTTTTAAGATTTATTTATTTATGCATACAAGAACTGGGGTACAGGCCAGAGATGTGGCGGTAGAGGGGGGGGCAGGGAGGGGGTGAGAGGATTCACCAGAGACAGCGGAGAACAGAACAGGCAGACTGATGAAATACACTGCTGAGGGGAGCAGCGGGCGAGACAGGAGAGGTCTGCTGTGCCATGTGGGTAGCTCCCTGGCCTGGGTTTGAACTCGTGCTGCAGTGGCTGCGTCAGCTTCATAGGTTGCGACTTAATCTTGTGCCAGCAGGGCACAGTACTCTTTTGATGTGTGGACAGTTAAGGTGATACAGTTAGTATGGTATGTGCTGCTGTAGGCCTATATGACTGAATTTGATTTAGGTTGTGGCTTTGCCAGGTGATTATGGCAGAGGGAAAAAAGCAAAGGTGGTGCCATTCAAATCCTTCTGTGAAGTCTTCAGGTGTCTCTTGTGCCATAGAGCTACCAAATACCAGTTACCGATTTGCTGATATATTTTGTAGTGCACAGAATTGTGGTAGATCCTTTTCGAGAACTGGGAGGAACTAAGAGAACACTTAATCCTGTGGCTCCAACTGAGCAGGGTAGAGGGGAGTGTTGGAAACTTGGCGAGAGAAGAACTCACAAGGCACAGCGAGTGATGGCGGCTGCAGAGAGAATAGGTTGAGTTCCTTGGGCCAGGTTGGACTCAAGAAGTAGAAAAGCTGTGTGTTTTCTGACACATCCCATTTGATAAATGAAAAAACTGACGTTCGGAGGTCAGAGACAGCTTTCATGTCCGGTGGGTACAAAACCATCTCCTGACTCCAGTTCAGTGCTTTCTGCTGTGGACACGGACCTTTCATTTGTGGCCCCTCAGTGCATGATGCTGTCCTAATTCAATAACTAATTGTTTTGTGTGAGTTTTTTGTTTTTCATTTTCTGCCACTTGTTGCTGGAGTTAATAATACTGATTTCAATGTCCTATTTTTTTTTTCTCTTTAGGGTACTGAAGTCAAGGCGATAACATATTCAGCAATGCAGGTCTATAATGAAGAAAAGCCAGAGGTTTTTGTAATCATTGACATTTAAGATACCAGGGAAAAAAAGACTCCTATGAAGAACTGCTTTTTCTCTTCCTTTGGAGAAGATACCATAATATAAATCCTACTGTATCTGTTGAAAACTTGGAGATTTGCAGAACAGAAATCATTTGCTTAAATTGTGACTTTCAGAAAAGGAAAGTCAGGACACAGCCTTGGTGTGTGCTACCCAGATATTCAAACTTTAAAGAATTCTTTCCATGGCAAATATGGTCCTTCATTTATTCTTTCCCTGTTAGAGCAGCAGGCACCTTACACCTTTCCAGTTAGTGCAAACCCGAAGGCCTCCTGGTGTAAGCAGCAGCCTGAAGCTCAAGAATCATTTGAGAAATCCCACACCCAGGATTTTACTTTTCTTCCAAATTAGTTAAGACATTTTTCCTAATGTACATTAAGAGAGCTTGTATTTTAGATTGTGTACTACAGCGCCCACCATCTTGTATTCTAGCTGGTTTTCTTACAAATAATTGTAGTTGGTTAAGAGGGCTTCTCTAGAAAGAGCCCTGAGTTTCTCTCTCATTTTTAAGCACTGATGTACTGACAGTTCTCTCTCAGTGCCCTTTCAAATAATCCTTTCTTCTGACATGTAATTTTATTTTAAAGCCAGGCTATCCAGTCAGGGAGGACAAGGAAGAATTTCCCTCACTCCATTTTTCAAAAAATTATATAAACTATTTCCAAGGAGCCCAGGGAAACAATTTTTAAATGATCTGAACTTTTCAAAGGAGATAGCTTTGAGAAGGAAAATAAAACAAAACTGCTTTAATTTGCAGCATTGTTCTATTCTCTATTGATTGATCTAGAGTTTGCAGTATTATCTATTCATAATTACATAAGAAAAAATTCCACTGGATGGTGCCAAATATCATTGTTAATATGCTGAACTTGACCTAAAAGGAAGAGATTGAACTTCCTATGGGTTTTCTTTGAACACTACATTATTTTTAACAGAAAATAGGGGTATTGAAGACTAGACTAAGAGCCTGTGGTCTGAATAGCAGCACTGAAACATTGTATAGCGATCGAGTTTCCTAACCTTTCTTACCTCAGGTGCATTTTGTATGTTTGAATTGTGGCCCTCCAAGCATAGAATGTCTGGAAGAAGCTCTGCACCTTTTGCTGGAATGGATTTCTAGCTGACATGAGGCTCTTGTTTTCAAGGACGCCTTTGTAGATGCTGAACTACAGGGTTGTTGACTGTGGAAATGAATAATGCACTATCATTCAGGCAGTGTCAGAGTAAGAAGAGCTCTTGGGATATATTAAAGCCGATTTGGGTTCAAACCTGACTGGGAAAAGAAGCATAAGTTAGCCATGTTTCTTACCATATACTGTGTGATGGGGTTCAATATATTATGTAATATAAATTATATTTTTATTCAAAATAAATTTATAATTTATGAAAAAGTTTAAATTTTAGTATGTGTTTTTTAAATATCCCAAAACAAAGATTGAGAAGGAAAGTAGGAATACAAGAATCACATTCGTTCCATCAGCAGAAGCACATGTTTCGTGTATTTTTAGTTTATTTATTGAAATGTCTGCACTGGGCTCTCACCAGACTCTTCTGCTGATCTCAGATATGTCGTGGCCTGGGGAACTGATGATCTCTCATTGCAGAGCTAAATCTCCCACCGATAACACACTGCTTTGTCTTGTCCCTTTTCTGGGCTGCCTTTCTCAATACTGAAAACAGGGGTAGCAGTTTCACTGCCCAGGGAGTCAGGCAGGTAATGAGAACAGGCTGTGGGTGTTTTGCTGAAGGTTTACTCAGTGGCTGCCTCTAAACCCTAGCCCTTCTAGCTTGTGCGACTGCTAGCCCAGTATTGCAGTTTTTATGACATCTCTGAAATTGGAATTTTTATGTGAAAGCCTCTCAGGTTTTAGAAAGAAATAACCACTATAGGTCATCACAGTAAAGTAAAATTGTATGTGGGTTGACTCTGGACCACAGGTTGCTAGTGTACAGCAAGCTATGCTTTTCTCCTGCCTAAATTCACATTTCCAGAAAGCCTCCCTCACCCTTCCAACCTTCAATGATCTCTGAACCATGCCCCTCTAATTAGCTTTAAAGGTGGGCCAGGGGCCTCCCTGGTGGCACAAGGGGTTAAGTGTCAGCAATATGAAGCTACTGGCAGCCACTGCAGCATGAGTTCAATCCCTGGTGGAGCAGTTAAGCCACATGGCACAGCAGACCTCTCCTGACTCACCTGCTCTCCCTTCTCCAGTGTGTTTCACTCCATCCGCCTGTTCTGCTCCCCACTGTCTTTGGTGAATCCTCTCACTCCCTGCATCTCTGGCCTGTACCCCAGTTCTTGTATGCATAAATAAATCTTTATTTATTTATTATTTATTTATTTGTTTATTTATACAAGCACTGGGTAGTCAGAAGTGCGGGAGGGTGAGAGAACTCACCAGAGCCAGAGCGGGGAGCAGAGCAGGCAGAAGGACCGAAGTACACTGCTGAGGGGAGCAGCGGGCGGCAGGAGAGGTCTGTGCGCCATGTGGGACCCTCCTCCGGTGGCCGAGGAGCAGCCGGGGATCCAACCGGCGCCGCAGAGGCTGCGGGGAGCTTCGCAACCCAGCGCTCAACCACTGCGCCACCAGGGAGGCCCAAATCTTTAAAAAAAAAAACAGGTGGGCCAGGGTACTTGATTTTGTAATTGATTGTTCGCCAGTCTTGTCCCTCTGAATAGCACACACAGTCCTAGGTGGTACATGATAAATAGATGGTCAGTTACTATTCAGTGGTCAGTGAATTAAGCATCTTAGAGTTACAGCAAACTTGGGCAGAGACTGCAGCTCACCTGTGCTTATTTGCAAAAACAAGAATTGCAAGTCACAAGCCTCAAGTTCTAGCTTTTGCTCTACTGTCTGACCTACTTCCTCATTTAGGTATTGGTGATTTCTCAATTTTTTTACAAAGTTTCTGTAACTCATTATCCTTTAAACCACCAAGAAGAGATTGAAGGTATGTGCTTCTGAAACAGTCTTTGGTTGTTTAGTATGAAAAGAATCAAATCTTACTCACTAATCAGCCTTTGTCCAGATTCTTACCTGCTAATTTTGTCCTTTTTCAGTATAACTAGAAACTTACCTCCTAGAAGTCTTTTGGATTCATCCCACCTGCTTGATCCTTGCAATACCGGGTCCTCTCAGTTCCAATGAAATGGTCAGAGCAGATTTGTCAAATTGCTGCACAGGGTGCCTTAAATCAACATGTAGTCAGAACTTCACCTTTAAATTGCAAACACGTTAGGGAATGAGGGACCTAGCTCATGGTTATTTTGTGTACTTTTGAAACTTCTTGTCTTTAATGGCCTGTTTAAGGGACACTTAATGCAGAGCTTCCCGATTCCAAGGGGCCAGGCCACATGCTGCTTAGGAAAAGGTCCTTGATGTCCAGTTTTCATAACAAAATTCCACATTCTTTGTTTCATTCAAAAGCACCCCCATTCTCCAGGCTGCAAGCATGTTGGACTCTACTTCCAATCCCTGCACTCAGCTGTTGCTAGCTGCTGTGCCAGAAAACGCAGGGCAGATTCTCTATGGGTCCAGGAGATGTGTAAAGGAGAATCCTGGAGCCCTCAATGGCTTTTTCAGGCTTTTAATGATCTTTCTACACCATTTGTAGTGCAGCAACCAGGTGCAGGACAGGCAGGGGAGCTGGGGGGCCAGAGGCTGGCAGGCCTCCCAGCCTGGGACTCCCTGGTGGTGTCTCATGGTCTCTTCCTCTCATTGTTCCACTGCTGTCCACCGCTCTGTTGTGCCGTCCTCTGTGATGCCGCCCTTATATGCTCAGCCTCCAGGCCCAGGTGTGCGCACTTACGCACACCCACATCATACTTCAGGTGTTTACCATGAGGCTCATGTACCCCCAAGCCCACGCTCCCAAGCACCTCCTGCATTCAAGGCTGCAGGTCATAGCCACAGAGGCCAATGGTGCAAAAGCCTGAGCAATCTTTATTTACCCTATGCCAGCTTTCCTCATGGATCAACTCTCACTTCATTGTGTTTCCTACTCGTATGTCCCTTCCATTCTTCAAGGTATAACTCAAAATACCCCCCCCTTGTGCTCGCTTCGGCAGCACATATACTAAAATTGGAACGATACAGAGAAGATTAGCATGGCCCCTGCGCAAGGATGACACGCAAATTCGTGAAGCGTTCCATATTTTTTACCATGGAATATTACTCAGCATTCAAAAAAGATAAACACATGCAATTTGAAGCAACATGGATGGCACTGGAAGGGATCATGCTCAGCGAAATAAGCCAAAAAGAAAAAGAAAAATACCGGATGGTCTCACTCATAGCAGGAATCTAGAAAACTTAAATAAGGGACCAGGAAAATGAATAACTATAAGAAAGTGAAAATCAAAATCAACAAAAAACTATGAACCAGAGACACTTTTAGGGGGGCAGGGGCGGGAGGGGAGGGATTGGGGTCAGAATGGGGGCGCTGCAATTGTATGGGGAATATAACAATAAAATTTATTATCTAATAAAAAAAATACCCCCCCCTTTTTTAATATCAGCAGACATTATTGGCATGTTGGGATTTTTTTTTTAAAAAAAGATTTATTTATTTATTTATACAAGCACTGGGTACAGTCAGAAGCGCGGGAGGGCGAGAGAATTCACCAGAGCCAGAGCGGGGAGCAGAGCAGGCAGAAGGACCGAAGTGCACTGCTGAGGGGAGCAGCGGGTGGCAGGAGAGGTCTGCGCGCCATGTGGGACCCTCCTCCGGTGGCCGGGGAGCAGCCGGGGAGCAGCCGGGGATTGAACCGGCGCTGCAGAGGCTGCGGGCAGCTTCGCAACCCAGCGCTCAACCGCTGCGCCACCGGGGAGGCCCCTGTTGGGATGTTTTTTAAATCTGTACTTGTTTTTGTGTAAAACATTAATGTGATGCTCTCCCCTCCCAAATTATTTGAATTGATGCTGGGGTCTGGGGATTTAGAGGCAGCTGCAAATGGTAGATACTAAGATACATATTCAATGAAGAAATACACTTCTAGCACATGGTACTTTCTCCCTTTATCAGGGCATGGGTGGGTAGGGGAGGGTGGTGTGTGTGTGTGTGTGTGCGTGTGTGTGTGTGTGTGTGTGTGAAAATTGCAAGTTGCAAATGCCTAAGGCAGTGAAACACTTTGTTGGTCACACCACAGTATAGTAGGCTCCCCTGAAGGGTGAGGACAAGGTTCCAAGAGCCCTGCCCCAGGTGCCTGAAATCAGCTTAGTGTGGAACCTTATATATACTATTTTGTTCATAGTTTAATTTATAAATTAAGTACAGTGACAGATTAACAATAACTCATAATAAAACAGAACAACTGTAGCAACATAGTGTAATAAAAGTTATGGGAATGTGGACTCTTAGTGTCTTATTGTACACGTTTTCGGATGGTGGTGATTGACCAAGGGTAACTGAACCAGGTCCAGCGAAACCACGAGCTCTACGCGGGGCTGCTCCATTGTAGCCTAGAGCTGGGGTGCAACAGGTCAGCTCTCCCCTTGCAGAGGCACGGCTTAGGTTTTAAGCTGTGGTAGTTACCCCTGGGCCGGGATCCCACTATGCCCTGCCATCGTGGGTGACTTTGGGGCCACTCATTCCACTTCTGAAGCCTGTTTATTCCTGGTTTAAATGGGGACGGCAGGAGTGCCTCCTCGGAGGACTGGGACTCAGCAAACGTGGGCTCCTTATTGGGCACCCACCAGGCGTGACAGAACATTTTCCATCCAGCCCACCCCCTCAGTCTAACTTTAGGGGTATGTCTGGTAGGTCGCAGGCTTCTCTGGGGTGTAACTGTCGAACTCTGATAACTTACTAGGAAAAGTAGTCATGGAGGGAAACAGGACTGAAAAGAAAGATTCCTACTCCTCAGTCCCACTCACAGCTGGCGTCTTCCCTGGAAACAGCACAGCAAGTCAGCTGGCCGCCCGCCTGGGCGCTGGGTGGGGACAAATCCTTGGCTTTCGTTCTTCAACATGGACTCTAAGTACTGGAGCATCCGATGCCAAGGTTACAGGCGCCGGTTTTCCACTGCTGTATTCCTGGTGGATGTATTTCCTCCAGGGGAAAAAAATAGTTTTAAGTGAAGGCAAATAGGCACACAGTATCTACTTTTATTTCAGCAGTTAAACCTTTTTGAATGATGTAAGAAAAATGCCACTTCATTATTGGATAAAACTTTTTTGTGGGTGACTCACCAAGGGAGTGTCTGTGTATACACTACACTGCTAATGGGATATGCCTGTGTTTGAATTTCAAACATAATGAGGATGGCTTCATGGGAGTGAGGATGGCTTCAAGTTATTTAAAAATATTTAATGGCAATACATGCAGAAGAAATTTAATGTTGTTTCTAAATTTATCCAAAGACATTAAATAACACATTTCAATATTGACTCCTACTTTTCCAGTGACATTTAACTTGAATAAAAAATGATTTAATTTAATTTGCTGACGGAATTCTAATGGGTAACAATTAAGCTTCATAGTGGTTGGACAGTGCACTGGTTTCTTTTTCAAAAGCAAAAACATGAAAGCTGCAAAATGTAGGGTACAGTATTTCAGTCATGTATTCCTGACATAGTTTTCTAATAGTCTGAAGCATTGTTTGAATTCCCAGAATGTAATACCCATAATCAAATAAAAGGCAAATGCATCTCAAATAAAAATAGGCTATTTTAAGACCACCTGATAATTTAGAGTATTCATCTTATTTGTCCCTAACAGATGTCCTAAATTTGGAATAAACACAGTATCTTGAAATTTCTGAAAAATTACTATTATTTTGGACTGGGCATCTGTAATTTTAAAATGTTTAATGACAGGTAAATATAAAAAACACTGGGAAGATTTAAATATTTATACCCAGGTCCCATCTGCCCAATATTCTTACATACCTAAGCATCTGTATTTTTATTTATTTTTAAAGATTTATTTATTTATGCATACATGAGCTGGGGTACAGGCCAGAGATGCGGGGGGTGAGAGGATTCACTAGAAAGAGCAGGGAACAGAACAGGCAGATTGATTGAAACACACTGCTGAGGGGAGCAGTGGGCGAGACAGGAGAGGTCTGCCTCGCCATGTGGGTTTCTCCCTAGCCGGCTGGGGATCGAACTTGTGCTGCAGAGGCTGCGTATTGCTTCATAGTGTGGTGCTTAACCCCCTGTGCCTCCAGGAGGCATCTGTATTTTTAAAAGCTCCAAAAGTTATTCTAATATGCAGCCAAGGTTGAGAGCCCCTGGTCTAGGCAGAAATGTTGCTCGATTTTTTTCCCCTTATGGCTGAATAAAAAGAAATTATTCTCTAATAACGGAATTAAGTAGTTAACAACAAGGAACTAAAAGACTTTCCCAATGGGAAAGCCAAGAAACTATAAGATGGATTTGTGTATCTAAAAATCTGAGGAACGAAGCAAAGTAGAATAAATTCTTCAGATGTAATTTACAAGCTGTATTCAATGTAATATTTTTAAATGATCTAATCAAGTTCAAAAGTAAAGTGGTGTCTGGCATTATCTTGGCCATTGTTTTTCTATCAAAAGGCTAATAATTGTTTTTGCTGACATAAGAAAAACAAAAAGGAATAAGGAAAAGTGTTTATCAAGCTATTTAAATGTGAGTAAAAAATATTTTGCCTTAAAAAGTTGAGTCCCTTGACTTCTTTTGTGTATGCTTTATTGCTTATTACCATATTGACCTTTTTGTTGGAATTAATACAAGCTTTATAGGGAGAAGGTTGATATATTAGGAAATGACATTTATAGATTTCTGTGGATTCCATGCAGTCATTAGCATGAATAGTTAAGGAACTACTGTATCAAAATAAAATATTATTTATACTTCACAAAATATAAAACAGCTGCTAAGAAGTGCCATTTCTTTGATACACTGAATTTTTATCATTGAAACTCTTGTAACTAAAGTCACATCCTTTATATGACATAAATTTATTTGTATAGGATTTATCCACATACAATGATGTCAACTTTAAAACAACTGACCATTATTTGTAAAAAATCATCTTATAAAATAGTGACACATAACACACCTTAGTAAACAAAATGATATTCTAGGAATCAGAAAATATGATCATTCTAATTCCTGTTTTTGTCATTTTTTTCTCTAGGTTGTATTAAGTAGGTGGCTTTACTGTTCTGTCCTCAATTTCTTTACCTTTCATATGGGATAACTGTCTTATTTTATAGATAAGTAAAGAATAACAAAAATGATTTAAATATTTGCAAATATAAAATGCTATAGAAATGATAAATAGTAATACTGATCTATTCTAATATAAAATAACAGAGAACTTTCCATTTATAATCTAAAGTTTGGTCCTCCAGTACCTATTATTATCACCCTTCCCAATTAAACATATCTTATGCTCTACTATTTTTAATGATTTTTCCATAGCATTAACTTTAGGACCCAAATACACCTATACACACATATACACATATATGTATACATGTATATATACACATACATATATAAAAATATGCATGGATATTTCAATATATCTAAGCATGACTTAGCAAAATAACGCATAAATAACTAAAACACAGAGATTTTTTTCATCCATTGAGCACATAAAAGAGTAACTTTTGATTTTATTACACAAAAATACAATATTGAAAAATTTCTTCTTGAAAATCTTAGGGTAACTACAGAACATTATATACTAAAGATATGATTTGCTGCTCTAAGAGACCCTTTGACTACCTGCTTACAGCTCAGTGAGAAACAGATGTAATGAAATGAGATTGGAAAACTCAAAAGGAATTCAAGTTCCAAGGTTTTCAAGGCTGTACTAGTTCTGCAGAGGTATCTGGGGATGGTTCACAGCGGGGCTTTAACCAGAAAAATTCTGATTTTAGAGTTTCTCCCTTAAATGCTGGGCTTCTCTATGAAACAATTCATTTGAAGAAAGTTTTCTTGGGTGAAAAATCTTTTAAACTGCCGACCTAGTTCATTTTGCTTCCTATAGATGCTAGGTCAGATTGCAGTGGGGCTTTATCTCTGTAAAACTACATCCCATCATTCACTCTTGAAGACCAGAGAGTGAGAAGGGTGTTCAGAGTCTGATAAACAACATCCCTGTGAGAGCAAACTTTGGTCTAACCAACCCTCATTATCTACCTATTAATACTGAAAAAAAAAAAAAAAATCCTTGGCATAAAGCTTATTTTAACAGATTACACCCCTATGTACCATTTTCCCACATTTAAAAGTCAAAGAATTCCATTTTCTCTGAAACCATTAATAGACAGCTTCACTCCAGAAAAGAATTGGTCTTTAAAATTATATATATTATATATACGTATATATATATATTATATATAGTAAGTGGAATTATTATTTACAACTTAGAAACATATCACGATTGTTCTTTTATGATACTAAAATGATTTTGATTTTATTATTACTCATCTGTTCTAACAGATGAGCTGTCCTAGGTTGGTAAATTTGATAGCTGTTTTGTGGGGACTGCCTGATACTTGTTATAAAAAATTATGAGAAAGCATTATTTCTGAAAGAATTACCAGATGAGTGCTGGTGGCACTGTGTTCAGTGGACTTTGCTGACATTCATGCTGATGTATGGAAAGTTTGCATGCAGAGAGAAAAGCATGAAAGATTTAGATCATAAAGTCTATTAGAGATACACATGCAAGCACCACTTCACTTCTATGAAAAAAACTCAAATCACTCATTTTCCCTATTGACCCCAACAACTAAATATTAGATTATAATTTTGAAAGCTGTTCATATCGTTCTGGTGAAACTATAGATGCTATGTTTCCCTCCATCACTTGGATACCACTTACTTGTTAAGATTCCCCATGCAGGAAACGTCATGTTGGGACAAGGGCGAAGCTGATGTACACCATCTAGCCTTGAAGCAACTGGAAATTTCAAGGGAATCTTGAAAAAGTTTCAGAATTAAGTGCCATAAAATAAAGTGGTTGCATTGATTTATAAGAAACACTTTTTTTATAAATTAATTGTTGTAGCCCGCAAATTGGTATCAAGGACAATCATTAAAGAACAAGAGAAACATATTAACAAAAAGTAGCATGGTGAGGTAAGTCATTGCTTCTAGCAAAATTAAATGACATAAAGCTTAATTGTGCTAATTCATAGAGACCTCTGTGAAGTCCAGTTCTCTATTTCTGGTATTTAGATTTTATCTTTAGGACAAAAATAATACCTCTCCAATTCTAACTGTAATTTTGGAATGTTTCATAATCTATACAAGGAGGAGTTTAAACTAAACTTTATATCCTAAGAGAAAAGTTCATTTTGAAAAATTATATAAACAAGGGAAACAAAATTGCTTACAGTTTTTGGTGGGACCCTCGCAAGTGCCAGGAATCAAACTGGCGCTGCAGAGGCTGTGGGCAGCCTCGCAACCCAGAGCTCAACCACTGTGCCACCAGGGGAGGCCCAAAACTGCTTACAGTTTTTAAGAGAATAACTTGTTCAAATACTTTTGGATATAAAATTTACTTATAAACGACATAGAAACATGTCAATACACACTATTGGGACCTCACTCAGCCCTATATGCATAACTCTAGTTCAAGATATTGTAAGTTGTTGAAGATGATTAAATTCTCTGCCTCATACTTTCTAATTCTAATAAGCTTATTTTTATAATTACTCACATTGGTGATGTTTGACTTAATTCTTTGCCAGTTCAGGAGACATACAGAAAGAGGCTGTTGAAAGAGGACTGTTTAAAATAAAACCTGTCCAGTCATCAGTCCCACCACTTAAAGTTCTGACCTTAATTTCCTCATTTGTAAATCAGAGGCCATATCCACCTTGCTGATTAAGAAAATATGTGATATATCAGTACATAAATGTTAGAATTACTCTTTGTAATTGGTAGAACTTTCAGTTTTCTTGTTTTATTTTTTCTCTTTAGAGAGGAAGAGAACTTACTGACAGGTTCTCTTTACACGTTACCCTAGCCTTTAGGCATTATATCTTTCCTGCTTTGGAAAACGATGTCTGTAGGTAGCCTCTGGTCAGCCTCTACTTTTGGTTTTTAGTTTTGACAATACTGACTAGTTAAGAGTAATTTTTAGTTTCATGAAAGATTTGAGACATTTTTGACTAGTCTTCTGCTGTAATCCTAAAACATTTAGGATATCCAAATAATGATAGGTTGTTTTATATCTTAATAGAAAGATTTACTAGTTCAGTAATGTGGGTTGCCAGACCCTTAACTACCTCTTACTTGGTTCCCTATGAAAACTGAGTATTGGTAGTTCACATGTTTTAGAAACACCTTGAAATTATCTTACATAAAACTCGGTTGTGGTAATTTTATTTAAAATATTTCCTTTGGAAAAAAGATTGCTAAGTAGATATTCCAAGATGGAAGAAAAAAGGTATCTGTAATAAAAGCAAGAGGATTAATTAGTCTTCCATCATGCCAACTCAGGCTAGGTCTTTCCAGTGCAGCAATGTATTTTAGGGCAAAAAAGTTCAGAATGGATACAGTGGCCTGTTCAAGAAGCATGCAAGTTATATCAGATCATTACTCTCACATCAGTCTGATGAATGTGTTAACCAGACTCTGGCTGTAGAAAGAGAGAGCTACAGGAAGTCAATGGAGGTTGCAGACATGCCAGCTCTGTTGGGTCACATGACAGCTACCTAATGTTGGGCTTCATTTCCTTTTCTTCTTCTTCTTCACTATCGTCAACCTGTTGGATGACCAGATCAGCAGACCCGTCCTCTACGATCTCCACGTATGATCTATTCTCATCTTCACTCAAGTGCCATTTGGAATCTTTATCTCCATCTGATGGGGACATAAGATGCTGTTCAGCTTCCAAATCAATGGGGAGGCTGTCTATGCCAACTTCAGCAAGGCACTCATTGCACAGTCTATAGCGCCTGGTTCCTTCCTGCACCACTTGCCCAGTTAGATCAGTTACATGGCGTTTGCATTTTCGGCAGATTAGTTTGCATGCTTGGTGAATCTGTGTAGAGATTTAAATGGTGATAAAAAAGGATTTTTCAAAAGCAGGACAGTCTGCTATTCAAGGTAATAGTTCATAACTTAAGAGGTTCAAAGTCAAACATTAATATTAAATTAACATCTGATTATTAGAAAAACAATCTAAAGTTTTGCTAAAATTTGACATCACAGAAATTTTAAACACCATTTTTCTCTAAATAATGGCTATAGTGTTTTTATAATTAATACTACATACTGAATAATTTCACATATCCCTTCATCTAGTAGTATTTTGATATCTGAGGTAATAGGTGGCACCTTCCTGGAATATTAATAATTGCAAACACTATATGTACTATTTTAAGGACTTTGAGAGGAAAAAGACCTCTTTTGTTTCACAAAACAATAAATTATATACATAATTTAATTTTCATGATTTGCTAGAGAAAGAAAAAATATTGTCCCTAACCTATAAAAATAATTTCAGATAAAAGGATTACTGGCCATCTTTATTAATGAAAGATCTAGTATAAATAGGACTGGATTAGTCACTGGGAAGCTTGGATTCTGGTCCTGGCTTTTCATTTACTAGCCTTGTCATTTATTAACCATGTATTTTTGAAACATGTAATTTAAAACATTATAAATCTGATTCCAAGGTGATAGTCAAAAATATTTAACAATTGGTAATGCATGGGTACCACCCAAAAAGAACAGAAGCCTGACTAATCAGAATGGACACCGGTGTGAACATTCACAGTGGTGGCTCTATGCACCTGCTGAGGTCCCCAAGTGCCTCCGTCTTACTCTTGAAGCTTTAGTCAATAGCTATTAGAGCAGTAGATTATGGGTTTTAATCTAAAAATTATTTTAGTTCAATATTCTAGAAATGAAATCTTAACTTTATTCTATAGAGGAAATAAAGAAGTTACTCTAATTTTCGTACATGCTAAATACTTTATTGAAATTATTATAATTAATGTATAATGTTGAATTCATGTTTAGGCATACTCATTAATCTAAAGTCAGAACAGTAGAGAAGTAGGACATCAAACACACATAGACAAAAAAACCCAAGGAAACGAATATAGTCTGGTAACATACATTTAAGAAAATGTATGTTACTCAATACACTTATTATCTTCTGCTTAGCCACTAATATATTAATCAGTAAATATTGAAAGTATGCAATTTGAGTGTACCCTTATATCCCCCAGGAAACAATATGTGCAATATGTGCAAAAACCACTTAAGTGGGAATAATTTTTAATATGGTGGAGCTGTTGGGAAAGATTTTCCTTGGTAAATCCAATGACCCTAAGGCAGATAAATGCACATATTTCTTAGAAGGAAAATGATGAAAAATCATACATACTGTTCGAAAATGGCTACTTAGATGGTCGAGCCTGCTGAATCTCTTTCCGCAGGCTTGACACGGGTAGGGCCTTTCTCCTGTATGACAGCGAAGGTGGCGCTTCAGGTCTGCTTTCCGCTTCACCACATGTGGGCAGTACGGACACTTGAATCGCATCCTGGGCAGGTCATCTGTCAGGAAACAGTTGGATTAAATCACCAGAAAGTCATAATATCGATTCTAATAAAATACATACAGTATCCAAAAGGAGTTGATGCATCCAGTCTTGGAAAGAGAAAAGGAGAAGACAAGATTGTCAATATCCTCCTATGCAGAAAATCTAACTTCAGTACTTGATGTATTTACAAAGTCTGAGTAAATTTATAAAGTCTGTCACTCTTATCTTTTTATTTAATGCTGTAGTTACTAGATTTTAAATGTAAAAAGTAAAAACTGTAGGCAAAATCCAAAAATAAGAATATTTATTTACTAATTTTTAAGTAACATATTTTATTCACATTTTTATTCACCTGGCTTTATTTTTCATATACTTGTATGATTTTTCTTTTAAAGGTGAAAAAATTTCAAGGGTCATTAATTTTTTTGTTTTAAAACTCAGGTGTATTCAAAATGTTAACTGTGATTGGAGGCAAACTTCATCATTTTAACTGTTAAATTCAGCTGTTCATTATCAAAGTTAGATTAAATAATCTAGAATATTATAAATGTGCAAGGTCCTAATAAAGAAAAGGTCACTTTTATGCTGTTTTAAATGCAACAAGTATTTCCCATTTTGCTGTCATTTCTGTAAGCTTTGGTCAATGGTCAGAGTTCAACATGACTTTAAGTAAGGTCTGTAATGTACAATTTCATATATTTCCAAGTTAAATGTCCTATAGGAAAATGTGACAAGTAAAAATCAATCAGGCTGCTGATTATTTTTAAATGTTATCCACAGACAACCACATTATCTTTCAAGATCTATATGACAAATAGGGAAAGAAGACTACTGTCTGGTTACTTAGTAATATTAAGGACTTGTTCCTTTTGTTTCAGTACCATAATGGTATTCAGGGGTTTTTAAGACTATTTTAGGAACATATTTTGAAGTAGTTACAGATGAAAACATGATATCTGAGGTTTGTTTCAAAATGATAAAGGGAAGGATTAGGGGTAAAGGTACAGATGAAACAAGATTGGCTATGAGTTCAGAGCTGCTGGAATTGGGTGATGGATACATGGAGGTTAACTATACTAGTTTATTTTTGTATATGTTTGAAATTTATCTACATTAAAAAATGCAAATATATAATATAAATTTATAATCTGCAGGAGTTCCGTTTTATCAGAATTTTCCTTTAAATTGACATGTAAACTATTAAGCAAATTTGCTAACAGATTAAGTGGGGGGGGGAACTAGAAGATATGCATTTCTAATCCCGATTCTCTATTTTAATTTTATGGGTGTGAAGGGAGGGTTACTTTAAAACTATCAACCTATATACTCTCTCTGTATTTTACTACTATCATAAAAATTAAGTGTCTCATGTTGCACATAGAATTATACTATCAATATTATGGGTTGCGCTATTTTTAAAATTATGTGTTTAAAAATCAGATTTAGTCTAATTTCTTTTAGACCTTGGATTTGTGAACCTATGCAAATATGCCTAGTTGCTCTCCTCAACTTTTATGAATAAAAACACTCCTCCTGAGTGAAAACTCACATAAATGTTTAAAGTGAAAATATGCATTGCAGGGATTGAATCATTTAGAAAAGAGCTTTAACCATCTAACAGTAATCTAATCACCCTGTTCAGAAAATCATAAGTTTTGACCCTCATCAGAATTTCATTGTTTTGACTATTATTACATTTACCTAATGTTATCTTAAATTACAATTTTCTTTTATTGTATGTTTTATAAAACACATTTTATATTAAAGTATCACTCTAAAATAAATCACTTAGCTCCTATCACATCAAAATTAAGGGAATGCTTGAATAGGATTGAATAGGAGTCTTAGAAGCTGATTGAGGGGACTGATTCTCTTTCTGGGTACCTGGAAAACTTCTGGGTATGACATCAGATCCTTGACCATACTGATAGCCAATAGGAGTAGAGTCCATTTCAGGATCGGTTTGTGCTTGTTCTTCTGACTGGGGCATGTGGGTAGAAGAATCAGATGTCCGTACTTCCCGCTTGCTTGACTTATAATGAGCAACTTCAGAAGGCTGTGTCAACCTCAAATGTTTGGTCTTTTTAATGGAATCTTTCCTGTGTTCATGCTTGAGCAAAGCTTGTTGAGTATTCCTTTGGGAGACTGGCTGGTAATTATACTTACTCCAAGATTTCCCACTTATTACACCTGTTCCCTGCTCAGGGCTTAGGAGAGAATGTGGAGAACCACTTTCTTCTTGCCAGGCACTGCTATAAAAAGAGGAACGTTCTATGCCATTTGAATTGGCGTCTTTATCGGATAGACTGAAATAGCGATCCTTTTCTTTTTCGCTAATGTCTAATGAAGATTTAATAAAGGTCTTACATACACTAATGACGTCAGTCATCTGAAGGAAGCTAGCAGCTGACATCACTTCTATAACGTTCTGACCGGTTAGAGAGAGTTTTCCAGAATAGACGAAGTCCAGGATGACAGTGAAGGTGTCAGGGGAGAAAGCCTGAAAGGTGGCTGTAGTGGGCTGGCTTGTCTCCTTTGAATTCTGGGAAAGCAGCATTTTAAAGTAGCCACTACTAGCAAATAAGACATTTCGATGTGCTTTGAAGACCTTGCCTTCGACTAGAATACTGCAGTCACAAAACACATCTTGCCTGCGCTGCTCATTCAGTTGCTGCAGGAGGTGAGACTGGTGAGAAGAGATCTCCATTCTAAAAAGAAAAGACACACATGGTTACCAAGAGCAAGATCACACTGCTTTTCCAAGGTGGGTCAACTAAAATAATGATGAGAGACCGATCTATTTTTCCATTAAAAACACTTTCTTCTCCTACATTGTTTGTGGGAGTGCAAACTAGTCAAACCACTATGAAAAGCTGTCTGGAGGTTCCTCAGTCTACTAAAAATGGAGCTACCATACAACCTGGCAATTCCACTACTAGGGATCTACCCAAAGGACACAAAAACATTGATTCAAAAGACATCCTGTACCCCTATGTTTATTGCAGCACTATTTACAATAGGTAAAACCTGGAAACAACCCAAATGCCCAAAAATAGATGACTGGATCAAGAAGATATGATATATATACACAATGGAATATTATTCAGCAATAAAAAAAATAATCTCATGCCATTTGCAGCAACGTGGATGGAAGTAGAAGGAATCATACTCAGTGAAATAAGCCAGAAGGAAAAAGAAAAATATCGGATGGTTTCACTTATAGCAGGAATATAGGGGAACCAAATAAGACATCAGTGTAAAAAAAATAATAACAGTACAAAACACAACAAAGCAAAAACAGACAATTATAAATCAGAGACATCCTGCAGGGAGGGAGGGAGAGAGATCAGAGGGAGGGAAGGAGGAGCACAGAGGACTGTGGTGATGGTGCACAGGTGCAGTAGTGAAGGAAACTCTATGGGGACTATACCTGAGGGGTGGGGGGAAGCAAATATTGTTTAAAAATGAACAATGATGTAAAAAATTTTTTTTTTAAATTAATATAAAAAAAACACTTTCTTCTTAGAGAAGAGCCTCTAAGCCACAGAGTTGATGCTTATCTATCACTCAAAACCTCTTAGGGCATGTACTAAGTACTCTATAAGCATTAGGCTCTCACCTTTTGCTCTGCTTTACTATTAATATCCACAAGAAAAGACTCCAGGAAAAAAAAGAAAAGGTAGGTTTGAAGAGGAACCAAATGAACTTATATAAAAATGTAATTAATGAAATAAAACACCTCATGTTACAAGATGGCTGCTCCACCTCCAGTCTTAAGTCCCCATTTCTGATAGGAAGAAGAGGAAAATGTAAAATGCAATTGCCAGAGGGATGGGGGTGCCAAAACAGGGGAGGGAAGAACACAAGGGAATACAGTGATAGTTCACTGGTGATACAGTAGTGGGAGAACTATGGGGACTACAATGATGTAAGAAAAAAAATTTAATTAATTAATTTTAAAAAGGGTGGGGGGCCTCCCTGGTGGCGTAGCGGTTGAGCGCTGGGTTGCGAAGCTGCCCGCAGCCTCTGCAGCCTCTGCAGCACCGGTTCGATCCCCGGCCACCGGTGAGGGTCCCACATGGCACGCAGACCTCTCCTGCCGCCCACTGCTCCCCTCAGCAGTGTACTTCGGTCCTTCTGCCTGCTCTGCTCCCTGCTCTGGCTCTGGTGAATTCTCTCACCCTCCCACACTTCTGACTGTACCCAGTGCTTGTATAAATAAATAAATAAATAAATAAATAAATAAATAAATAAATAAATAAATAAATCTTTTTTTTAAAAAAAAAAAAGGTGGGGGATGTGACTGCCAGTCCAATTTAGTTTGCTTTTATCAGGGAAAAAAAATATACTTTCCTGGGTGCCTCACCCAGGGGCTTATCCTTGGAACTCAGTGGTCAGAACCATGTCCCTGGTTTTTAAATGTGCCCTCCCACTAATGGTGTATATTAGTTTCCACTTCTCATCTTTGTCAACACTTAGTATAATTAGTCTTAAAATTTTTGACAATCTTATGAATATTTAAGGACATGTCATTGTTTTTATCTGAATGCACTGAATAACATTTAATGTTTATTGACCATGATTCAGTGAATTGTTTGCTCATTATGATGTTGCTAATTAACACTGTATAACAACTAACAAAAAAACAATGTTGTACAATAATAAGTATTTATTTAGCTTATATACCTGTGGGTTGGCTCATTTAGGCTAGACTGCTGAAATTGCGTGGGCAAGATCCAGGAGTCAGCTGACTTAGGCTGGACCTGGATGGCACAGCTTGTCTGGATTGGTTGCGTTATTTATTACTGGTTTCACATCTTCCTCCTGGCTAGCCTATACAATTTCTTTTCATGACAATGGCAGAAGTACAAAAGATCAAGTAGAAATACATGAGGCCATTTAAGGTTTAGGCTTCAACTGGCATACTTCCTATCTATCATATTCTAATAGGCTGAAACAAATCACACAGTCAAATCCAAAGTCAAGGGAAGAAGAAATATTCTCTGCTCATTAGTGGGAAGAACTGCAAAGTTATACAACAAAGAATGTGTGTGGCTGCAGGCACATGGGCTATAGGCAGGTGTGAAGAACGAGGGCCAATAATATGGCTTTGTTTTATTTTTATTTTTTTTATTATTTTTTTTTTTAATAGAGGCATGTTTATTTCTTTATTTATTTGTTTTTGTTTGTTTGTTCTGTTTACACATGCACTGGGTACAGTCAGAAGCGCGGGAGGGTGAGAGAATCCACCAGAGCCAGAGCGGGGAGCAGAGCAGGCAGAAGGACCGAAGTACACTGCTGAGGGAGCAGCAGGCGGCAGGAGAGGTCTGCGCACCATGTAGGACCCTCCTCCGGTGGCCGGGGAGCAGCCGGGGATCGAACCGGCGCCGCAGAGGCCGCGGGCAGCTTCGTAACCCAGCGCTCAACCGCTGCGCCACCGGGGAGGCCCAATATGGCTTTGTTTTAAATTGAGCTATTCGTCTCTTTCTTACTGATTTTAGGTGTTCTTTATAGATTCTATATACTAATTCTTTATATGTTACATGCCCTGCAAATATCTTCTACTAGATGGAATCTTATAACCATTATTAATAACTTTATTGCAGACAGTTTTCATTTAAAAGATTTTAGTTTTAACTTAGTCAAATTTATCATTTTTTTTTTTTTTTTAGAGGCATGTTTATTTATTTATTTTTTTGTTTGTTTGTTTGTTTATACATGCACTGGGTACAGTCAGAAGCGCAGGAGGGTGAGAGAATTCACCAGAGCCAGAGCGGGGAGCAGAGCAGGCAGAAGGACCGAAGTACACTGCTGAGGGGAGCAGCGGGAGGCAGGAGAGGTCTGCGCGCCATGTGGGACCCTCCTCTGGTGGCCGGGGAGCAGCCGGGGATCGAACCGGCGCCGCAGAGGCCGCGGGCAGCTTCGCAACCCAGCGCTCAACCTCTGCGCCACCAGGGAGGCCCAAATTTATCAATCTTTTAATGGCATGCTTTTCAGGATCTTGTTTAAGAAATTCTCCCCTAACTCAGGGACATAAATATATATTTTTAAGTTGTTTTTCATTCTTAGGGCTTTAATCTAGAATTTATTTTGTATTATGGTATTTTTTTTTCATTAGATAAACAAATTTTCTTTTTTTTTTTTTAAAGATTTATTTATGCATACAGAACTGGGGTACAAGCCAGAGGTGTGGGGGGTGAGAGCATTCACCAGAGATAGAGTGGGGAGCAGAACAGGTGGATGGACTGAAATACACTGCTAAGGGAAGCAGCGGGAGAGTCAGGAGAGGTCTGCTGTACCAAGTGGGTAGCTCCCTGGCTGGGTATTGAACTCATGCTGCAGTGGCTGCGGACAGCCTCATATGTTGCATCTTAAACCCTTGCGCCACCAAAGAGGCCCCAAATTTTCTAGCACTATTTATCGAAAAGTTTTTCCTTTCTCCACTAATTTGTTAAAGCTACCTCTGTTATAGATCTAGTTTCCATAAATTCATAGAGCAAGTTCTGAGCTCTCCATTCAATTCAGTTGGTCTTTCTGCCTGTTTCTGCACCAATACTTTACAGTATTGATTACCAAAATTTTAAAATGTTTCCCTCTTGAGCTCTTCTTCAAATGACGTTTTTTTTACTCTTATTCTCATCTTCATCTATACTTCTTCATGTGAAAGACAATTACATGTTTTTTTTAATAATAAATTTTATTTTTATATTCCCCATACAATTGCAACCCCCCCCATTCTGACCCCAATCCCTCCCTTCCCGCCCCCCCCACCCCCAAAGAGTGTCTCTGGTTCATAGTTTTTTGTTGATTTTGATTTTCACTTTTTATAGTTATTCATTTTCCTGGTCCCTTATTTAAGTTTTCTATATTCCTGCTATGAGTGAGACCATCCGGTATTTTTCTTTTTCTTTCTGGCTTATTTCGCTGAGCATGATCCCTTCCAGCGCCATCCATGTTGCTGCAAATTGCATGTGTTTATCTTTTTTGAATGCTGAGTAATATTCCATGGTGTATATGTACCACATCTTCTTGATCCAGTCATCTATTTTTGGGCATTTGGGCTGTTTCCAAGGCTTAGCTATTGTAAATAGTGCTGCTATAAACATAGGGGTGCAGGTGCTCTTTGTTTTTTGGTGTTTTTTTAAAGATTTATTTATTTATTTATACAAGCACTGGGTAGTCAGAAGTGTGGGAAGGCGAGAGAATTCACCAGAGCCAGAGCAGGGAGCAGAACAGGCAGAAGGACCGAGGTACACTGCTGAGGGGAGCAGCAGGCACGGTAGGAGAGGTCTGCGCGCCATGCGGGACCCTTGCCGGCGGCCGGGGATCGAACCGGAGCTGCAGAGGCTGCGGGCAGCTTTGCAGCCCAGCGCTCAACCGCTCCGCCACCAGGGAGGCCCTCAAGTTACGTTTTTAAAAAAATGTTCTTGTATATAAATATTAGGATAAATTTATTGTATTTCACTAAAATAAGAAAAATATCCCATAGGATTTTTTCCCCTGGGAATTAATATAATTTATAGATTAATTTATGAGAAAGTTCATATCTTGATAATATTGACTGTTATTGCCCATAACCAGAGTATAATTTTCTGTTACAAGGGCCAATAAATGCCCTTTACCTATCCCAATTTGAGTTGACTTTCCTTTTATAACCTGAGAGAATCACAATTTATGCTATTTCTGAAGATTCTGAATTTTTGGGTAACTTTAACCTTAATTCTTTTTTAAAGATTTATTTTCTATTTATTTATACAAGCATTGGGTACAGTCAGAAGCGCGGGAGGGTGAGAGAATTCACCAGAGCAGGGAGCAGAGCAGGCAGAAGAACCGAAGCACACTGCTGAGGGGAGCAGCGGGAGGCAGGAGAGGTCTGCGCGCCATGTGGGACCCTCCTCCGGTGGCCGGGGAGCAGCCGGGGATCGAACCGGCGCCGCAGAGGCTGTGGGCAGCTTCGCAACCCAGCACTCAACCGCTGCGCCACCGGGGAGGCCCACCTTAATTATTAATGCATCTTTTCTTTTAAATCCACTCCTAACCTTGAAAGTAATCGAACTGGTTTCATAGAGGAATGATTAATTGATATCCAAGTCATTGCCAGTTCTTTTTCAGATATGAAAGTATTACATAAAAAACATTAATTATGTTCTTAAATGTTTTATAAAAAATTCATTTGTTGGGGAGAAACAGAATTTTTTAAGTTTCAATAAGAATTTGCTTTCCAAGCAATCTGTAGGCATTTTAAGTGAGCATGTGTATGGTAAAGCGTTGCAAACAGTAAGTCCCTGGGTGCAAATTTAAATAGACTCCTAACTGAGAATTGATAGGGAGTGGGAGGATGTTTAACTGTGAAAGTAAGGGGGAAATTTCATTCTCTTCTCCTGACTAGAAAGGCTTGAGACTGCCTTTGCCAAGTGGAAGGAGGGACAGAGGACCTCTGAAAGAAAGGCTGAGAACCTTGGGAACTGCCTTTAGCAGCAGGTTGTGTCAAAGGGTAGTCACAAGGTCATTCACAAGGTTTTTCCCCAAGTGAAACACCCCAAGTTGGTAGCTGAATTCCCACTGCTATATGCTCGTGAAAAAGATATAATTCCAAGACAGGATTAAGAGTGAGTTTAAGGGGTTTCATTAAAAGACTCTAATAGATAAAAGGGTAAAGGGAATTTATACATACAAAGAATCACAGCTATGTGTCCAGGTGCAGAAAGAACCACTAAACATGAGTCGAAGGTTTATGGCCTGTGTACTGACAGAATAGAGTTGCTACTTACTGAAATGGGGGAAGACCAACGGAGGAATAGATTTTGAGGGCTGATATCTGGAATTCAATTTTGGACATGTTAAATTTAGCATGTTCTATTATTTGTTCAATAAGAGATAAAGGGTGGATAGATAGATATACGATTAGAATTGAAGAAACAGGGCCTCCCCTGGTGGTGCAGCATTTGAGCGCTGGGCTGCAAGGCTGCCCGCAACCTCTGCTGCGCCAGTTTGTTTCCTGGCCACCGGCGAGGGTCCCACAGAAAAAAAAAAAAAAAAAAAAGAATTGAAGAAACAGGTCCAGGTGAGGGATATAAAGTCAGGTAGGATTTGTATAGAGATGGTATTTAAAGTCATCAGATTAAATATGATCACCAGAGACCTTCCTGGTGGTGCAAGGGGTGAAGAAACAGCTCGATGAAGCTATCCGTAGCCACCGCAGCATGAGTTCAATCCCCAGCCAGTGAGGTGCAGCAGACCTCTCCTATCTCGCCTGCTGCTCCCCTCAGCAGTGTATTTCAGTCAATCCGCCTGTTCTGGTCCCCACTCTGTCTCTGGTGAATCCTCTCACCCCTACATCTCTGGCCTACACCCCAGCTCTTGTATGCATAAATAAATCTTAAAAAAAATTAAAAATAAATATGATCACCAAAAGAAGCAGGCTACACAGAACAGAGATGAGTCCCTGGCATGCCAATATTTAGAGATCGGAGAGATGAGAAGGCTCAAGCACAGCTATGAGAGAGGAAAGCCAGAAAGACAGGAAGAAACACATCCCAGAAATAAAGAAATTGTCTTAAGACAGCAGGGACAATTAATTGTGTTAGCTTTGGTAAGATAAGGACTAAGAGTTGACCACAGGATTTACTAGTGAAATGTGTGTGTGAGCGTGCACGTGTGCGCTTGGGTGTGTGTGTATGTACATGTGAATGTATTAGGATGGGTGTAAGGGAGAATGGGATAAGAGAAATCATATAAAAGGAGTACATACAACCCTTTCCAAAGAGTTTTGCTACAAAGAAAGAAAATGAAAGACATGATAATAAAGGGAAGTGAGGCTGAATGAAGAATTTGAGTATTTGGGAAAGAAAAAAAAAATAAGAAATTCCCAGATGTAACAAGAAGGGATGAGATTGAGAACACAACTAAATGATTATCATTAGAAAGGACAAGGAGGGATGGGCGAAATTACCTCCTTTGTAATGGGAAGAGAAAGTGAAAAGTGCGCGGATATTCTAAATCATAACATTGAAGAATCTCAGCAGAAGCTGAGTGTGAACAATAATAGTCAGTGAATTTCTATTGGTGAAACTATTTAATTAGTAGATACAGCAACTGACAGGCAGAGGCTGCCATTTTTCTTGAACCTACATATCAAGGTCAGAATACGCTTGTTAATTTGCTCCGTAAGGAAGCAGGGCCTTCATAACTAAGGGAACTGGCTTTGGTTTCTGCACTACTTATCTATTGCCTTTTTTATTATTAAATTACTTTCACTGAATTAACATCGGCTTACAATGATTCAGGGGTATAGGTCTCCACAACTCTTCAGCTCTATGTCACCACACCACATCCACCACGATAATCCTCCACCATAATCCACCACAGCCCATTGGGCCCCCTACCCGCTTTGCCTCTGACCTATCATCCTTCCCCTCCAGTACTCTCAATTCTGTAGCTTTCTGGGATTTGTTTTAGTTTAGTTATGTCTGTTCCATTGCTTTCTTTCTTTATACTCCATAGGTGAATGAAATCATCCACTATTTGTCTTTCCCTTGACATTTCATTGGGCACAACCCCCTCCAGTTCCACCCACATTATTGCAAATGGTAAGAATTTTATAAATAGCTGAGTGGTATTCCATTGTGTATATATAACACATCTTCCTAATTCATTCACTTAGGTTGTTTCAAAAACAAAAATATTGATGATTTGCATACCATCCTTGTGCAGGGACGATGCTAGTCTTCTCTGTACTGTTCCAATTTTAGTATGTGTGCTGCTAAAGCAAGCACTTACCTTTTGTTTTTAAACCTCACAACTGCCTTTCTATATTGTCTTTCTTCTGATGGGCTGGGAGTTTGCAAACTACAACACCCAGGAACTCTCATCAGCAGGCCTCCTGCAGGATATGCCCAGGGGTCACTGGTGGGAGAGCAGAAGACCAGCAAGAGGGAAGTTCCCTGCCTCTCGTTCTGAGAACTGCTGGTGGTGCCTGCTGTAGCAGCAGGTAGGATGGTTCTGGATGGCAGCAGCTCAGGCAAATGCAGAATCTTTTTGGTGGTTCCAGACCTGATAGAGGTGGCATCCTTCCAGCAGACCCAAGACTGACTGTGTCTTCCCCAGCACAGCAGTAGGGCCAGGCACCTGGGCTCCAGCTTCCATGGGCATAGGCAGCTTGTGACCTCTAAATGTTTCTCCAGGCTCGATCCTCATTTGTGTTCTTCCAGGCCTTTCCACACCCTTGTGGTTTTCTGAATTAAATGATCTCTGTCAAAAATATCTACAATGGCTTCTGTTTTCTGGCTAGGACTCCTACTACATAATCTCAACGACAGAAAAGGTCACAGGAAATAGACTTACCAAAATAGAATTCTGGGATTGGTGTGCTGACTGAGGTTGAACAGAGCACTGACCTCATTGTCAGTGGAAAACAGAAAGTCCCAGCTTCTGGGATGTAGTGGCATTGTGATTACTTCCCTCATGACCTGTGTTTGCTCAGGTTGAAGTCCTACTGAAGGCAAGGCTTTCTGACACCAAGTGTTCTCATCACTTTGACCATCATGCTAGTAATAATGACTATGAGGACTTGGGGCTGGCGGCTTTTGCCTGTAGCACTTCAGAAAGGAAATGACACACTTTAAATTCTCAACTTACTCACCATTAGGGAACCAAAGAACTTTGATGGTGGCCCAAAAGTGCCTCTGTGAAGGCACTTATCATCAAGGAAATGCAAATCAAATCCACAGTCAGATACTAGCGATACCTCTGAGAATGGCCCATACCAAAAAGAACAGAAACAGGGCCTCCCTGGTGGCGCAAGGGGTTAAGACACAACTTATGAAGCTATCCGCAGCCCCCACAGCACTATTTGATCCCCGGCCAGGGAGGAACCCACATGGCGCAGCAGACCTCTCCTGTCTGGCCCGCTGCTCCTCTCAGCAGTATATTTCAGTCAATCTGCCTGTTCTGTTCCCCACTCTGTCTCTGGTGAATCTTCTCACCCCCCCCACACCTCTGGCCTGTACCCCAGTTCTTGTATGCATAAATAAATATTAAAAAAAAAAAGACCAGAAACAACAAGTGTTAGAGAGGATGTGGAGAAAAAGGAACACCACTGGTGGGGATGGAGACTGATTCCTATGGAAAGCAGTATGGAGGTTTCTCAGAATATTAAAAATAGAACTACTATATGATCCAGTAATTTCACTCTTATGTATCTACCCAAAGAATGCAAAAACAGTGACTCAAAGGGATATTTGTAGTCCTATGCTCACTGCAGCACTATTTACAATAGCCAAGTTATAGAAATAGCCTATGTGTCCAAGAAGAGATGAGCAGATTAAGAAGATGTGATATATACATGCAATAACATACTACTCAGCTAATGAAAAAAGATGGTCTAGTGCCCTTTGCAACAACATGGATGAAATTGGAAGGGATAATGCTAAGTGAAATAAATTAGAAAGACAAACGCAAATAGAAAGAAAAGGACAAATGCAGTGTGGTTTCACTTATATGTGGAATATAGAGAAATAAAACAAAGGGTCAGATAAAACCAAACTAGTAACAAACCCTAGAAATCCAACTATAGACTTGAGGCTACCAGAGGGTGAGGAGGAGGACAGAGAGCACCTGTGAACAATGGGGAGGCCTATGGGTACCCTGGCGGTCGGTCTGGTGTGGTAACATGCATCTGAGTACCCAGCACTCAGGGTGATGTGGTTCTCAGGGGATGTGATCCTATGCCTACAAATCATATAGTGTTGTACCCCAATGTTATCTCAACAAAAGAAAAAACAACAAACAAAAGCCAGAGGCATGCCATAAGGTGGGAGGCAAAACACTATCAAGACTGAAGGTCCTGCCAGCAGAAATGTTTAGGTGTCAGGTGTTCTAGATGTTTTCGGATTAACCCAGTCCAAAGCGAACAGTCCAACTGCTGTACTTTGTACCACTCCCCATAAAGAGATACAAGTTCTAGGAATCTTTTGATTTTGCAGTCAACTATATAGCTCTCCTTTGGGTGTCTTATTCCAACCTAGATATCGAGTAACTTACAAGTTGGCCACTTTTAATTGTGGCCCAGAGCAAGAAAACATTCTGCAGAAGAACATTCAGGCTGCAGTGTTGTAAAGCCCTTAACAGTTACCAAGCTCAGCAGTATCAGATGTGGGTAGTAAATAGGAGATACTGTACAGAGCCTCTGGCAAGCTCTAGTAGGGGAATTATAACCCTTAGAATTGAGAGAAAATCCATGGCCTCTTATATTAGTTGGTACTCTCCAGAGAAACAGAACTAATAGATGCATATACACACAGGAAGACATTTATTTTAAGGAATTGCTTCATGTGATTATGGAGGCTAACAAATCTTAAGCTGTGCATTTGGCACATTGGAGACCCAGGAAAATTGATGGTATATTTCCAGTTCAAGCCTGAAGGCCCAAGAGACAGAAGAGCCAAAGTTTCCATTTAAATCCAAAGACAGAAAAAAAAAAAAAATCAATGTCTCAAGTCAAAGCTGTCAGTCAGGAGGAAATACCCTCTTATTGGGTTGGGGGTGAAGGATCAAAAGTGGAATAGGCCTTTTGTTCCAGTCAGGCTATCAACGGATTGGACGAGGCCCACCCATATTAGGGAGGGTCTTCTTTACTCAGTCTATTGCTGTAAATATCAAAGGCACCCAGAATCATTCTCACAGAAACACCCAGAACAGTGTTTGATCAATTACTGGGCATATTAGAGACCAGTCAAGTGACCTATGAAATTAACCATCACAACTCTCCAGTAGATAGTTATTCTTCTGAAAAGAGCTTTGGAATGTTACCAGGATCTACAGAGCTCGATGCCTGACCATGGGACACCAAGCAGGCACATGTGAGTTGCCAACGATGGGTGCTATCCAAATGGATGGGGCATATTCTTTTACCCAAAGGCCAATGTCTGATGCTATTTTTCCCTAAAAGCTAGAATACTTTTAGAAATCAGGGGGGGAAAAGTTGTAGTGCTTCCTTTCATTTTTGACCCACTTAAAGAATTTTGCTTTCTGTCCCTGCAGAGGTCTTAGCCCCCAAACCTGCACCAGGGGAACATTGCATGGTTGGTTGAAATGGGTTGTGACTCACCAAAGAATTAACATCATCTGTTTTACGGAGGAGGTGACGGCATCTTTGTATAAATAATAGCTGCATATTGTAAAACAGACTGGTGAACTTGTTTCAAATCTTACATATGGGAAAAGTGGTGTGTGCAGATGCCAAGTTGCCAAAGAGTGGACCACGTTGGTCATTTACCTGTCACCTCTCAGCTCTACTCTCACCTCACACTCTACTCTCCTGATGGGACTGAGATTCTGCAAAGGACATATCCCAGACTTCCTTCCTTCCTTGTAGCTGGCTTCCTGTTAGATTCTATCAGTAGGAAGCACTGATAGGAGATCAGAAAGGAAAAGAAGTTTCCTGCTCTGGGCAACAGTAATGCAGCGAGTGCTGGTGCCTGGTGGCTGTTGGTGGTGGGCAGAGGGGTAGGGTGACTCTGCACTCCAGTAGCCTTTCCATCCTTTGGACTTTGCATCACTGATAGAAGTGGCATCTCACTGGCAAGTCCAGAACTGACTGTGACAGCAACTCCACTGCACAGCCACCAGCACAGACCGGTGGGCTCCAGTGCAGGACACAGCAGCTTCTGGTCTATGATGAGAGTCTTCCTTCTAGTACCCCACCAGCCTCCCTTCTCCCTTTTGGTATTCCAGCCTTTCTTTGATTTTTGGAACCAATTTCATAAATTAAATTCCCTCTCTTTGAAATACATAGGCTGACTTCTGTTTTCCTGAGCAGATCCTCACTGATAACATTTCCAGCACCGAAATTAGATAAATCCGTTCTCTAAGAAAAGAATCTTTCCTGAGACTTGTCTTCCTGCACACATGACACAGAACCTTCCCTCTCAGCACCTCTTACCTTTTACTTCTCATAAACAATCACAGTTGATTAGGAACCACTTTTATTTTCTTGCTGCTATTATTGATGTTGACTTCTGCAAGCCAGTTTTTTTTTTTTTTTTTTAAAGATTTATTTATTTATTTATACAAGCACTGGGTACAGTCAGAAGCGCGGGAGGGTGAGAGAATTCACCAGAGCCAGAGCGGGGAGCAGAGCAGGCAGAAGGACTGAAGTACACTGCTGAGGGGAGCAGAGGGCGGCAGGAGAGGTCTGCGCGCCATGTGGGACCCTCCTCCGGTGGCCGGGGAGTGGCCGGAGATGGAACTTGCGCTGCAGAGGCTGCAGGCAGCTTCGCAACCCAGCGCTCAACCACTGTGCCACCGGGGAGGCCCATGCAAGCCAGTTTTTAAATACCAAAGCAGAGACAGCAAAAGGAATGCTCATAAACCTATTACCCAGCTTCATCGTTGATCAGCTTGCTAATTTTGTGTCTTCTATCTGCCTCCACTCTCCCCTCTAGAATATTTAAAAATATAATCACAGGCATCAGGTCATCTTACAATCTTCTGGGTTTAGTTTTTAAATGCATCTTCTTCCACTTTTGTTATATGGCAGGGCCTCTGTTGTCTTCTGCCTGCACAACTTCCCTTCCTCTTCCTCAGCATAGAATTTCTCTTTTTATCTTGGAATTGCCTTCCACCCTTCGGTGATGTTCATTCCTTGGCTTTACCTACTCTCCACCAGGAGGGCACATGAGCTAGATGGGTCAGTCTGAGTCATCTGGGGCACAGCATGGGAGTTGGAGCATGGTGTGCTGAAACCATGAGAACATGGGTCTCAAGCATCATCCAA